TACATACATACGCACATACATACATAGAAATATATATATATACATATACATATACAAATATATATATATATTATACATATACTATATATTTCATGTATGTATGTATGCGTGGTCCGAGACATAAAGTCGTACAAAACCAACCCTGAACCCTCAGAAACGCCCTTTCAAAGCATCCTCAAGCATCTGCTTTTTCGCTTCGTCGTCCGCTCTCCACTGTGCGATCCTGACAGAGGGCTCAGAGCTTTTCAGTATGATCTCCTTATTAAACTCGGAAAAGTAGGTGTTGGGGGGTTAAGGCAGAATTGATAGTTTAGGGTTGGGGTTTAAGGCAAGCTCGTATATTCGGTTATCTTCGCAATGTTTGTCTAGGGATTTGTATGGGAACTTGCTCTAAGGTTCGTTTATGGGTGACGGGATTTATGGGCTTTGGGGCTCAGGAAGGGGCACCCAGCCGACCTCGGAAGGCTTTCTCTCAGGGCCCGAAGGTCTGTTATGGCGTCGAGGCTTTTGGGTTTAGGGTTTAGGGGTTTGGGGGTTTCGGGTTTAGGGTTTTGGGTTTAGGGCTTGGACTTTGGCGGTTTAGGGCTTGGCTTTCTGCCTATGATGACGAGCTTCGTGATATCAACGGCGTGATACCTTCCCCCTTCGACGGCGCAAGCGTCCGAAGCGGTCCCCACCCCGCGCAAAGTATCATCTTCTTCTCGGGCTCAGGGTTTAGGGTTTAGGGTTTGGGGTTTAGGGGTTTAGACTTTAGAGGTTTAGGGTTTAGGGCTTAGGTCTTAGGGCTTAGGGTTCAGGGTTTAGGGTTTGGGGTTTAGGGTTTAGGGAGGATCATGGATCCATCATCGTCTAAGACCTTAATTTTCCCCAAAAGGCATGATCGGCGCGAGGCACTAGACAGAAGTTGCCCGGAAGTGTCAACCTATCGTCCTCAAAACCACAGCTCTGAACGCACACCCCCAAAGTCAGCTCCGGCACTTCTCAAAAAGAAGCTCGACCCCCGAACCCTCAAACGCGATAGACCCTCTGCTTAACAACATGGTCAGGTATGAATGAAACCTTGAAGAACACACCCGGCCATTAAACCTTAAATCCTGAACTCCTACATTCCTCTAGATATATAGACTCTCAATCATTAACTCCTCAAGCCTCTTAAACTCTGATACCCTCAACCCTCTAAACCCCAACGAAGTCTCCTCTCGAGCTCTGCGAGATTCGGATTCTTGCCGCTGAGCTGGGCCATCTTGCCTCTCACTTCCCCCTCTTACCCTGGTTTCGTGTTTAGGGTTCGGGGTTTAGGGTTTAGGGTTCGGGGCTTAGGGTTAGGGTTCGGGGTTTAGGGTTTAAGGTTTGGGGTTTCAGGGTGCCCGGCAAAACATCGGCTTTTGATTGGCTTATTCCCCTCTGACTGGAAGGCTCTGTGAGTCCTTGGTCCTTAGTCGGGAATGGGGGAATCGGCTAAAGGGCTACTGTAAGGGCCGTCATAGGGATGAATTCCACCAGGCTCTACAAGTCAAAACATATCCCCTAAAGGGCTCTAGAGGCCCCATAATTCCAAAAGAGATCGGTAAGGTTTGGATAAGGGTCTCCTTAAGTAAAGGGCTCTAGGAGGCTTCCTATAACTCCACCGACGAACCGGAGCTACAGTTACAAGGGATACTACAAAGGCTTGCGTAAGGCTGGGCTCTATGAGGGGTCCTGTGAAGCCTTGGTTCTCTCCGGGTTCAAAAAAGGGCTCCTATGAGCGCTTAGTAAACCCTAAACCCTAAACCCTACAAAAAGTTTAGGAAATCTAGAGATCTCAACAGATTTTAGGGGTTGGCATGACAAGGAGCTCACTTGTTCCTACGAGCTTTCCTAAGGGTGTCATGAGCTTTTGTTAACGGGGGGTGAGAGGCTTTAGGGTTTGCAGCTCATCATTGCAACTTGATCTTCCAGAGTCGGTTTGCCTACCTTTGGGGTGTAAGGTGTGAGACATGAAGCGAAGCCATATGGGTAGTTCTCTGAATTAGGGTCCCCTTTTATGAGGGTGCCGCACTAGTTTGGGGGCCTAAACAGGGACACCAATTTACTACCCATAGAAAGCTCAATAGCGGGTTCGGGGACTAGCCTTGAGGATATGATGTGCAAGAGCATTTTGACTCGAGGGCTTCTCTCTGAGGCCCGCTTGTCCTTTGCGGCTTCGCGCGCATGCGTTAAGGCTCCTGTTTGTGGTATATGCTTTCGGGTACTGACTTGTAAGCAAATCGCAGATCAGCCAGCGGCCCAATGCACGTGGAAGATTCGGAAGAGCCCTAGACGCTACAGCCCGGATTCGGGGGTCCCTGCACCCCAAGGCCCACCTTTCTTCTCGTCTTCTCTCTTCATCCTGGGCAGGTGGCTCTCAAAGTTTCTCCGTTCGGAAAAAGCTCAATGTTGGGAAATTCAAAAAGGGACTTTCCGAAAATTAGGGTACCTGATTTTGGGGTCCTTATCATAAGGATCCTACTATTAAGGGTACTATGTTAGGGTCCCCTATTTTCGGAAACCCCCATATCTTCTCGGGGTGGAGGCTTTGTGGCTTCTGGAGAGAGGCTGGGGCCGTGAAGCTCTGCAGCTCATCTGGGGGTGCTTCTTCGTGCTGCTTTCCTGTAAGAGCAGGGCGGGACTTCAGGGTCTATCGCCTTTAGCACTTCCCTAAACCCAAAACCCCAAACCCAAAACCCAAAACCCCAAACCCAAAACCCTAAACCCACAACCCTAAACCCAAAACCCTAAACCCCAAACCCTAAACCCTATAGACCCTAATCCCTAATATTCAAGGGTGGAGAAGCTGAGGCCCTCCCTCCAGTCCCAAAGCCCCGAAGT